GCAATATAATCGCCGACGCCCCGGGTGACCTGCCCTGCTGCCTCCACTGTTTCCTCTCAGGCACCAGGCGGCCCTCTGCGCACCGGGACAAGAAAAAAAGTGCGCCCGGCCCACGGGGACACTCTTTGGCTTCGACTTACAAACCCCCCGCTCTGGAGGGAAAAGGAAAAAAAACACCCTCTGCCGTCGCCTCCTCTCACCTCGCCCCCCCCGCGGCCCCCTCCCACCGCTCTCGCCGCCGCCGCCGAGGCTGCCGCCCCGGTGCGCCCCGGCGAGGCATTTTCGCACCACGCCACTGCGCGGAGCCGGAGCGAGATGGAGGCGATAACCGCGCGGAGGGATCCGCGGAGGCGACAGCGCCGCTGCCGGCCGGACGCCTCACGCTGCCCGGGAGATGCCTCCGCCGGCCTTAAAGGGGGCCCATAAAGCCGCGGCACTGCCAAGGGCTCGCGGTGCCCCCGGGGCGCCGCGGAAATTTGGGCCGCGGCCAGCCGGGCGGGGGCGTAGCAGAACCTTACACTTGGGGGGAGGCAGGGAGGCCACTCCCAGGAGGCTGCAGAGCAAATGACTCTCACCCGGCCCCTGGAGCAGACCCGCAGAAGTTGGCCGTGGCTTTTGCACCTCTGCACACGTGGGCGCAGCCCAGGGAACATGGACAAGCCGTGTGGACTGACCGGACCGTACTTTTTGGGTTAAGTCCTATCCAAGTAGTTTGATTAAAGGCCACAAGGGTGACCCCAAAACCTGGTATCATCAAAGCGAATCGAAGTCCTTTTCCAGCCGAGCAGGCCTTGTGGAAATGAGATGTACATTTACCCTTGACGCACTGCACGCCTGGCTGAGGCTCCCAGGTTAATTGATATTTAATGGAAATCATGCCCATGAATATAGTTTCCATCATTTCACCCTTGATAGACGTCAGCACCAGGCGCAGGGGGGAGGCTGAAGAATGTGGGGAGGGAGGCATTAGCATTTCTGAGGGAGTCCGTAGAGAAGCGGGCAGAAATGTTCCGAGGCGGGAAGGAGGACTCCCGTTGGGGTGCGTGGTGTTTCCTCGGGCAGGACGCGCGGCTCCCGGGTCTCAGCCCCGGTGTGGAGCGGACCAGGGCAGGCGGTGGCCCCGGGCGGATCACGGGGGGCCGACGCCCGCGAGTCTCTCCCCCGCCACCCCCCCAGTGCGACTGGGAGCTGGCCTTGAGCTCGCGCCGGTTGCAGGCAGCTGCGGGCGGCGCCCGGCTCCTGCTAACGATTCTGGTTCGTCCCCCAAGCCTGCGCAATTGCTGCCGAGAGCGGGCGCCCTGCTCGGCTTTCAGTTACTCATTTTTCCAAAAGAAAAGAAAGACGAGGCTCATCCTGGCTTGTGAGTGATGAGAAAGACAAACACCCCGAGCCAAATGTGAATCGCAAAGACGAAGGTCGCTCTGAAGCTGCCTGGAATTGCACCACCAACAGTCTCTCCCCTACATTTTCTCCCCCCCCCCCCCCTTCTACTCCCGTTTTAATGTCCAATAAATGTGATAGGTCTGTCAGTGAGTTTTCCCTCGCCTACTCGGCCTTTTTCGTGGGTTCTATGGGGGACCCAGCCCCTTTCCCTTGGGGATAATCCATTGCTGTAAGGGCGCCAGGCCCACGGGCCTTGGATATCAACCTCCAAAACTCTGAGCCCATCAAGGATGCTCCCGCTAATGCTGAAACACACCACACCAGCTTTTCAGGCCAAATGCAAATCTCTAAAAAACCCAGGTCGCTCGCAAAGGCGCAGCAGGCCAGGGATTTCAACTACCCCCGACTCCTTGTGGGTTCCCCAGCCTGTGAGTGCGATCCCGAGGTCAGTCCGGGTAGACTATCATATTTTGCAAATGGAGACAATAAGGTCGAGATGGAAAGGAAGGCATAACAGGGTAATGTCTAAGACTCTCAATTGTTTTTACAGGGAATGACTGGAAATGGTTAAGGCAAACTGATTGCTAATAAACCTCCAGATGATAAAGGCATCCTTTAGTTTTTAAATTAGCAGACTGGAGGAGACTCTCGTTGTGGGGGTGTTGGAGGGTAGCTGTTTGTGTTTGTTTTCTGTCGGTTATCGCCAGGTAAAACCTACTTTAAATCCTAAGGCAAACGAACGGATTCTGACAGTTAAAGATTTGTACTTCAACCTTGCAAATATCCAATTAAAAGAGTATTATTTTTAACAAAGCCTTGAAACTAACGTCGCAGTTGTGCCTTTTTCATTTGTTTGGCGTGTGTGCATTTGGGTGTTTAAACACTGGATAAAAGAGTGGGTTTGGAATGGGATGGAGAAAAAGAAGAGCGAGCCCAGATCTCAATAATGCAGGGAATCTTCTAGAACAGTGTGATTCCTAGGGGTGAAAAAGAAACACGAATACTACAAAATTCATTTCTACACATTCTGGCCTAATTAAGAAAACATTACAACACAACATTTCCTCCTAGGACAAAAAACTTAGTTTTTCTTTCAAGCATTTTGTTTATAATTGAATGGGAAAAGAGCACGATTAACTTGGTCAATAAAGATCTATGCCTTTACCACTTCTGTTTTGATAGAATGCATTAACTTACCATAACGCTTATAGTTTCAGCAGTGGCATAGTCCAAATTTTCTGAAATCCTGACCAATTCAAAATTTTATCCCTAACAACACGACTGCAGAACTTAATGGTGCACATTGTTTCTTTTTTTGTTAAACTTATTCTAATTTGGAATTAAAAATAAGATTGTAAGTATTTTTAGTCAAAGCCTTCCTCTACCACAACTCCAACTTTACGAGATCACAAAATGGAGCAACGGCGCTCTCTAGTGGCCAAATGCCACCTCCAGCCGACGGAGCTTGACTTCCCTTTATTGGACTCAAACCAATTTCAATCTAGTTCTTCACTTTGACTGGGACTTGGATCGCTGAGACTAATAATGCTTTATCCCTTTGATTGTCAACAAATCAAGTGCAGCAAACAGGGGCTCCTAAATGCCAAATAGTTTTTGTGCTCCCAAGAGCTTCCAGTAGGGTCTTTTTCAAAAGTTTCCAACCCTTCTTTTGCCAGACACAGTAGGTTCTCATTCTGTAATCACTCACAATTATAGGATGAACTAGATTTAACAAAAATCACAACTTTCTAAATATCAACTGCAAAAGGATTTTTTTTTCCAGAGAAGCCAGGAACTTAAAAAACTAAGAAAATATACGTTAATTTTGTCTTGTTTTGTTTTTTTTCTTTTAAAGCTATTACTCTTAGCGTTAAATCATAATGTATTTGCTATTTTAATTTTATAATTTTAATGCTCTAGGTTTCACTGAGCAATGAGGTGGGGAAACAAAATTTAAAACTTTTTGCTAGATTTCTGAGTGGTTGTCTGGAAAGGCCTTGGTGGGCCTGTGTTTATTGGATCGTGTATGCACAATAAATGAGATTTTAAATTTATACCAAAAGTCATCACAGAATTAAATGAACTGACTAAATACTCCACTGGAAAAATTTTTTTAAAGTAAAGAATTTAATCAGCTTTAGGTGTTTCCTGTGAGATTAATCTTTCTCATTTTTCAAAAATGCTTTCCTCCTACCCAGCAGTAGCTATTATATTTTCTATAAGCAAATAGATATAATTTCCAACAATATTTCTGCTGCGAAGTCTGGAGTGGAGGGCCAGATATTTTTTGTAAAAAGGCATTTAAGTAACTTGATTTTTACCCAACCACCATTTGGCCGGGAGACCCTCAGCCTGAGTAAATGACCCAAGATCACTAACTCCCCCACCCCCGAATAAAAGGCCGCTTTAAAAACAAACTAGAAAGAGCAAGCTAGATCGCGGCCATAGTCAAATACTATAAAGAGCCACCCACCGTAGGCTAATTCTAATACCCAGACCATTTTTTAAATCAGAAATACATCCTTTCCTCCTTCCCATCCACACACTTTTATTTCCTAGGTGCTCACACCTCACCCGGGGCTCCCAGGCCCCTGCCTTGCGGGTCCAACGCGGTCTTGTTTATATTTTATTGTCCAGATTTTAAGACCCAGTTTTTGTCTGCATTTTTCCTTTTCTCCTACAAACACAAACATCAAAATGAGACGGTTTCAAAGCGAAGCGCCGGGCGCGTCGTAAACTCATTACCTCCAGACGTCTCGCCGGCGGGATGGCTTTATGACACCTTGGCTCTTCCTGTTTTCAAAGAGCCCTAGGTACCGGCTTGGCCGCAGGGGCGGGGGTGCGCAGCACCTTCTGCCGGATCTGGGCCTTGGCTTTCCCTCCCTCCCCGCCTTCGCTTTTCCTTAAAGTCCCCTCTTTCATC